CGCTGAAGCGTCGACCATTTCTGGCTGGCAACTTTCAGTGTCATTAAGCCGCTGCGCCACCACATCCCCCTAGAGGACAATTAGGCTAATGAATAAAGCAAGACAGGATTTCTTCCATAGTGTTCCTGTGCCTCTGAAATCAGTTGTCACCTGGTATTTATCACATAAGCCTCACTTTAGCAGGCATTTGGGAGAGTGTTGAAGGTCCATCTAATTTTTCTTCTGAGTTGATTTTATCTTCAGAGACTTTTAGCTGAAGTCATTTTATTCATTTATTATGACTTTATATGCTATCAACAACTAAATCTCTTTTTGTATTTTCCGGCCCGCATGTTTATTGACTACCTTCTGGTGCTTATTTATTTTATTTTTGTTCTATTATTGCATGGGATTTTTAAGTCATCTTGAGACAGTTGTACCCATAAATCATGCATAGGCAAGAGTTCTTTCCCCTGACCCAAAGCCACATGCAACAATGAAGACAGATTAGGAATAATATTTTGAGCCCAGCATATCAACCCTCAACATGTGCACATTCAGATATACTCTGTGCCCTGCCACAAAAGACATGCAGGAATGGGAAGGCCTAAACCTTCCTCCTCTGCATTCTGAGTCGTTACAGGTCTATCCATCAATTTAATTAGAGAAAATGTGTATACAAGAAAGAGCCTCCTCATGCTGTGCCTGCCCCATCTAAGCCCGGCTCTCAGCTGTCCAGGACACAGTTGTTTGACTAGCAGTGGAATGATTATATGCTAAACAAGAAGGTGTCAAGGAGAGATCTTACCACATATCTTTCCCCCAGCAGCAAACTTGCAGAAACAATGGAAGCATGGGCAAGAACTGTGGGAACACTGCAGGCCTTCACTCAAGGCCACACAAGGCATTGCCAGTGGGGTATAGGTTGCTTGTAATGCTTCAAAGATAACTTGAGCTAAATGGTGGAAACCAAATCAGCAATGATTGTTTTTGAAAAGCTAAGCAGGGTTAAACCAAATGAGTGTTGAGGTGACAGATCATTAGGAAATATCTGCATGTTAGACTGGGAAGTCAAAAGGTCATTCTACAACAAGAAACTCTTTCCACATTGTTGCCAAGAAAACTACATGGACATGTCCATGACTTTATCTCAATGTTTTAAAAATAAATAACACTGGACTGAATTCCTCCATTCAAACATTCCTGAAAAATCATTTCTCAGCTGTAAGAGTGCAGGGGAACATTACTGCTTTGGGAAATGTAGGTACCTTACTCTCCTTTCAGTGAGATGGCCAAGGTTTCTCCTGAGATGTGCAGAAAGTTTTGAATCAAACTGTGGAGTCCTTGGTGCTCTCTGAGCTTGGTTGTTTGCTTGCAGATGTTTCATTCCCTGACTAGTTAACATAATCAGGGCTAGTGAGTGTGAGATTTGCTCCCTCTTTATATACAGTAGCTTGCCCTGCCAGTGTGGGTGAGGATGTGGTTTTCTCCTTTGGTAGTTCCTTGATTAGGGTATTGTTTTCTGCTTGATTGTTTGTCTCCTCAGTACCAATTGTTTGTCTCCTTGGTACCAGTTGATCTCCCTCACCAACACCACACCCCCACCAACAGTGGCAGGGCAAGCTACTGTATATAAACAGGGAGCAAACCCCACACTCACTCACGCTGATGATGGTACCTAGTCAGGTAATGAAATAACTGCAAGCAAACAACCAAGCTCAGAGAGCACCAAGGACTTTACAGTTCGACCCTGAGTTACATATATTCACTTCTACTGGAATCAAACTGTTTCAAATTCAGAAGAAATCCATTTCAGTGCCCCATTTCAAGCATGAAACAGCTATTCTGAATGCAAAAAGGGCAGTTTGGAATATTTTTGGAAGGCGCTGAAGCTCAAAACATTGCTGTGTGTCTACCCCTGTCTAAAGTAAAAACAAAAGTCTCCCCTCCCCTTTTATAAAACAAAACAAAACACTAAATTATAAATCATTAAATTTCGCCTGGGTTTAAAAAGTCCATTCTCTAGATTGATGTAGGCATCTTATTTCTTTTGCTCTTGAGAATACTTTTGGAAGTACTTCCATTTAACTAGGATTTTTTTGTTTGTTTGTTTTTGTTTTTTGAGGCTTCCCAACTGCTTCATCCTTATGGTAAAAGGAAAAACCTCTTACTTCATAGTGACTTTCAGATTCATTCCAGGAGGTGGTTCTAGCTGCACAGATAAGCGAATTCAAAGATAGCTCCTGGGCCAGTGAGAGTTACTTTAAACATTATTTTTTCCTTCAGAAACAGGATGGGCAAGTTCCCTGAGATCCTTGTTTGGCAACATCATGTCAAAAGTGCCATCTTTCATCTGCTGTGTCTTTGCTTATACAGTATCTAAGGTAGTCGACAAGTAATTAATGCTGTGGTATGCATCAAACTGCTTTTCTCAACTCATCCAGAATTAACCAAGAGTGAGAATTGTCCAAATGTGAGTCATCATAACCCACAAAATAACAAAGGACAGTTGAGTTGTTAACAAATTTTCCCAAGCAAGCAAGCTTCCCATACTTCATTTTTTTCCATGAACATTAAATTTCAAACTCCATTAATAGATTCTTTAGAACATATTATACACAAACCATAACAGTTGACCCAGTGTAATAATTTTGCAAAATAGTGGTTTCATACTGGTATTAATCTGTGCATTTCTGATGTCTTGCTTATTTTTCTTTGTTTCAGGAAGCCATTTCCTATTGGAGATAAAGTGACATTCAGTGGCAAGGATTGTGTTTGCCAAACTTGTTCCCATTCACTGATTAGCAACAAACCTATCAAGATTCATGGACCAAGCCGTAAGTCAAATCGATTTCTCTTCTTTATGCAGCATCCAGAGAGGATTAAGGAAAGGAAGTACTATGAAAACCATGATGGTACCAGAGATCATCTAGCAACCTAGAATTTATGCCATTTTATGCAATCTAGTAGGATTTTTGCCCTCAACTAACTATGTTATATAATTAGGATTATAGAATTTGTTTGCCCACGTGAACCAAAATTTTAAAAAGGACCCAGTGTAAATTATAACAATAGCTGGTTCAAAATTCTAAGACTTTTTGAAAGAACACATCTTAAAGAATTACTTTCCTGGTTCAAGCTATGTGGGATTCTTGTGCAGAAAAATAAATGCCAAATATTTTATAGATGATCTTCATCATCACCATTAATTCCAACTATTTCTCTACCACTTTGAATTATAGAAAATCTGAATGTAGTTCACAATACCCATAGTCATTAAATTAATATTGAATTATTTATTATTTATTTATTTAAAGTGAAGTAAAAAGATGATGATGATGATGATGATGATGATGATGATGATGATGATGATGATG